CTCTCTCTCTCTCTCTCTCTCTCTCTCTCTCTCTCTCTCTCTCTCTCTACCCTGCGCACATCAGCCGCCTCGCGCTGCTCGCCCTGCACACGGTTTCGAACTGTGTGGCCGCCCCTCCCGACCGTTCATGGCGTGTCTCTCTCTCTCTCTCTCTCCGCGCATGGCCCGCTTCAGTTACCGCATGCGCGCACGGCCAGCCGCCCGCTTCAGTTTCCCTACGCGCGTCCCCACTGTCCCCTATGTGCGTACCCGCCTTGTCGCAAATTCGTGGGCCTCTCCCACACCTCCGCCTCGCCCCCGAACCGGTCTCAGCCGCCCGCTTCGCCAGCTCGGAGCGGGGTTAATCCTCCCCTGCTGGGGAAGCAATCAACACCTCTTGCTCATACTGCACTTTAGTTGCAAAGGGAAGCTGTCTCCACAGGAGCAGTGGCTGAGGCTCTTCTAGCTTTAATGGGAAGAGCATGTTTTGGCGTTGTATTCGACTTGATAATTTGAGCCTTGTGGACTGGACTCAGGAGCCCTAGCACTAGCTCAAGCTGTTCATCCAAAAAAAAAAAAGAAAAAAAAAAAAAGACTATGGAGTAGTGGTCCGTAGGTAGTGTAAGGTGTAATCATCTTGAACACGGTTGTGGCTGCATTGAGAGCCTGATGGGAGCCAGTAGGCTGGGGGAAGGGCCAGAGGCCAGCCATGGGTAGAGGCAGCAAGAACCCCCGGGCGCAGTGAACTGAATAATTAACGAATGGGGTTAGCCAGCTCACTTTGGATAATGGGGGGCGTTGGGGGTGACGGCTCACTTTTGAACAGTGCCAGCGAGGCGTGGGCAACTGCCAATTATGCCAAGACTCTGGGAGAGCTACTCCCTAATCGGCCAGTTAAAGTTGTTAAATATACTTCCAAATTCAATTTGTTGGTTATCTTCCCTGATTATCTTCCCTGTACCACCTTGACATATAATGTACCCCCTTCCCCACCCCAAAAAAAAAAAGAAAAAAAAGGAAGGGCTTTTTTTAAGTTTTTTTTTAATAGAAAAAAAGGGGTAACTACTCGGGAGTCATAAAAAGGAGTCATAATTGCACTATCAGCCAATATACAGTCTGCAAATGCACTTCGGGCACACTACCTTCTTCCCCCTATTCGGTCATTATAGCTGTATCTAGACTGAAAGATACATCAAATACAGCTATAATGACCGTACGTTGTATTCAGGGGAAGAAGGTAGCTGGCCAGAGAGCTGGGTTGCATATAATGCCCGAACTTCCAGAAGTGTAATTCAAAACTGTATCTTTTTTTTTTTTTTTTTTTTTTTTTTTGCCCATAGTGCAATTATAATTCATTTTTGTGACTCCCACGTAGTTTCTCCCCCAAAAAAAACTACAAGAGAGGAAAAGGCAAGGAAGAGACAACGAAACATAGTCAGGGAATCAAAAGAAAAGGCAAGGAGGATACACATGTTCGGATCGGTGCTTCGGTTCTACGTTGGTGGAATATCAGTGCATTCCTTCCTTTTTTTTTTTTTTTTTTTTTTTTTTTTTTTAAAAAAGAATCGCCCGAGTGGGTGCTAGGGGTGCTGGTAAGAGCAGACACCTCTAGCAGTCCTGGGCGGGATGCATCTATTGGTAGGGAGCAACACCTGCTGAAAAGCGGGTCCAGCGTCCCTGAACATTGTGGCTGCATGTTGTCTGATACATATAATTGTGATGGTAGACAGCTGCTGGGCGCTCCCTTGAGCACCTCTAAGCGCTGCGAATAGGAAAGCAGATTCTGAACTTAATAATTGACTAGATTGCCTTAGCTGCTTGTCTATCTGCCGATCTACATTGCAGCTGGGTTGAGTTGTTGTAGACTTTAGATCAACATGAGTGTTGATCAGGGGATTGAAAGCAGGCCTCCCCAATCCACTCAGCTAGAAACCATTCCTGTTTCTGTGTTGGAATCTCGGCACATGACTGTTGACCAGGGGATTGAAAGCAGGCCTCCCCAATCCACTCAGCTAGAAACCATTCCTGTTTCTGTGTTGGAATCTCGTTCAGACCTTCCTGCAGTTCGAATCCATTCGCGCCYTGTCRTATTGTGGCTGCTGAAATCATCTGTTGTCCCTGCCACGGCCATCATCCATGATCTCTTCTATAGCCAGGGATCTTCCTTCATCTTTTGTTGTCATTTGCCGATATACCTCCTCCTGTGTCCTCCCTATCTCATCCCGACCGCTGTCCTTGTATCAGGAGATTCCCATGTCTTCTGCTGACTGAAGCCGTCACCGTTGATGGGGATGGGGAGCGAACGAGGTGGGGGGGGGCAGACGAGGTTGAGGAGGACGAAGGAGGAGAGGCGAGGGCGGCTCGAGGAGGGGGAGGTGGGGGGCAGAGGTAGTGGGTGGGGGGTGTGGGCGGCGACTGCAGCAGTCTTTCAGGGGATAAGGGAGACCTAGGGGGACCACACTGCCAGTCGGATATTAGCACGAAATTAGTCGGGAGGAAGGGAACTGCAAAATCAGTGAGGGGTCTTCTTTGCATTCCTGCTTTATGAACAGTGTCGGCTTTCAATGTGATTTTGCATTCTGGAATATTTCTGTCATTTCGCTATCCCTCATTTTGCTTGCATTTTGTACATTCATGGGACCCAGTTCAAGTTTATGGGGAGAGCCATAAAGCATAAAGGATGGGTTTGTTCCCCCATACGCTAAGATGGACGTAGAATAATGGGGTTCTCAGGAAGCAGGTGAGAACGGATAGATCGTAGATGTACAGCTAGAGATTCAAAGACCTCCTTTGCTGGATTTTGTTAGACTTCCGTAAGTTGATCCGTGCACGATGACCTTTTTTTTTCTGGCTACGGTTGGAAACTTGGGATGGGCTTGGCCGGGAGCCGGGAGTGGCTCACCCAGCTCAAACGACCGTGACATAAATGTGTGGGAATCCTACGCTCGCTTTTGTTAGATTTTCGACCGTTAAAATTGGAATGATACAGACACTGAAGATTAGCATGGCCCCTGCGCAAGGATGACACGCATAAATCGAGATTTTCGACCGTGGCAAAGATGTATTGGAATTTGGAATCCTTGGGCGGATTTCTTTAGATTTTCGCAAGTTGAACCATGCACGATGACGTTTTTTTTCTTTTTTTTTCCTGGCAGCGGTTGGGATGGGCATGGCCGGGAATGCCCCACTGAGCTCAAACGACGGTGACCCTGACATAAATGTAAGGGACGCGGAACCCGATTTCCGTCATATAATGGAATGGGTGGTTTTCAGGCTCGTTCCACACTCCTTGGGGCATCCTCGGGGCCCGAGGACGACTCCTTGGAGTCGCCCGAGGAAATTCCCACCTTCGTTCCACTCATCCTCGGAAATGTTCCCCGAGGACGATTCCTCGGGTGCTCCCGCGGCCAGTTGCATATTTCGACACGCGGACGCGGGGGGGTTGGCGAGGTTGGTCCAGCGGGTTGTGTCCGTGGCGTCGCCCCTGGTCCAGGAGCTGTGGGCGGCGCGAGTTCGAATTTATGCGGCAAAAAGAAAAAGGCTACGTAAACGGCGCGCAGTCCCCGATTTGAATTTCGAAATTCGAATCCCAGTAAGCAAATGGCGGCGGCGCGTGTGTCCCATACGGCTGACGGCAGCAACGTTCGTCGGCGAGACTGTTTCGGTACGGGGTGGCGGCCTCGTGGGGTCTGCTGGCATGCTGAACGTCCATGAATACGTCCGAAGCAGCACGGCCACCGTCACATGATCGCCAACGTTGTGTGCTTCGGTACGCGCGCCTTCGCCGTCGACGTGCACGCCGTTCAGTCGGGTTTTCACGACGCGCCATCGCTGTTGTTGCCACCGAAGTCGAGCCTTCTTCACTTGGCGAGGACGAGCGATGGGCGTGGATGGGGATGCGGTTCATGACACACTCAGCAAGGCGGAGAGGGCGGCTGTGGCAGCGACCGTGAACATGATACTCATCAGGTGTCAATTGCAGAGGACGGAGGGGAGGATGAGAGCAGCCATTCGCGCACACTGGAAGAAAACGCTGCAGTCCATTCATGTGGACGAAGAGGGCAGTGGTGCCATTTGCGACGCTGTCCTTCAGGTGTGCTATGCCATGGGGTGTGGAGCGTTTCCCAGAGCGACACCAAGGTGGTGGATGAAGCGTCCAATAGGGGGGGGGTGGGAGGATCTGCGGCAATGCGACGACGCGACGGAAGACTACTTCAAGGACAAGCTGCGCATGTCGCCACGGGTGTTCTGGGAGATAGCGGAAACTCTATCTCCCTTCCTTCAACGGCGTGTGACATTTTATAGGGAGCCCCTCCAGCCTGACCTCATCGTAGCGTTCGCTTTGTACAGATGGGCGTCGACGGAGACGTACAAGAGCGGGACGTGCAGCTTCGGCATTGGCAGAAAGTCTGGGTTGGTGGCTGTGCAGGATGTTACTTCGGCGTTGCAGAGTGCGTACAGCGACAAGATATCGTGGCCAACGGGGCTGCAAAAGGCGGTCGTCTTGCGCGCTTTCGCTGACAAGGGTTTACCCAACTGCCATGGCTGCATCGATTGTACCCACATCTTCATCGACAAGCCAACCAATTGCCCCGGAGAGGACTACTACGACAGAAAACGTCGTTTCTCCCTCTAGGCTCAGGTGGTCGTCGATCTGAACTTGCGCGGGCTGGATGTGTTCGTCGGATACCCCGGGAGCTGCCACGACGTGAGGATCGTCCACCTGTCCAGTTTGTGGGCGCGTGCGGAGGCAGGGGAGCTTTTCACTGGGCCACCTGTCATGCTGCCTTTCGGTGTGCGAACGAACGGCTATCTACTGGACGACAACGGTTACCCCCCCTCGGAATGGGTAGTCGTCCCCTACGGCGGTGTATCGCAGCACCCGTCGGAGATTCAGTTTGACAACAAGCAGAAGACGGCGAGGGGAGCAGTCGAGAGGGCTTTCGGCAGATTGAAGGGGATGTGGAGGTTGTTCCTTCGCCCCCACAAGACGGACATGGACACGTTGCCGCAGCAATTCGTCGCCGTCTGCATTCTCCACAACATACTCATCGACGCGGGCATCCCGTTTGACGACAATCTGCTGTGGGAGGTCGGGCCGGACGGTGTTCGTCGCTGGGTGGACCTTGGGATGCACCGCCCGTTGAGGCAGATGTGTATGGAGTCATCAACGGGGGATGCGCTAATCCTGCGGGATGCACTGGCGGAGCGAATGGGTACGCAGTGAAGACGAACAGTCGTCGGGAGCGGGCGGCATGCAGAGAGAGAGAGAGAGAGAGAGAGAGAGAGAGAGAGAGAGAGAGAGAGAGAGAGAGAGAATCGACCGCTACCTGTGTCGGTGGGCGTTGGCGTGCATGCGGCGGCTT